TCACCCAAGAGCAGAATACACATTCTTCTCAAGTACACATGGAACATTTTTCCAGGATAGACCATATGTTAGGTAACAAAACAAGTGTTAATAAATTTAAAAGACTAGACTCTTATGAAGAATCTTCTCCAACTATAACAGAATGAAATGGGAAATCAACAACCCAAAGATAACTAGAAAATGTATATGTGAAAATTAAATAACACATTCAAACAACCAATGGGTCAAAAAGAAATCACAAGGGAAATTAGAAAATATCTTGAGATGAATGAAAACAAAAATACAACATATTAACATTTATGTTATACAGCAAAAGTAGTGCTAACCAGGAAAGTTGTAGCTGCAAACACATACAATTAAAAAAAAAGATTTCAAATCAATAACCTAACTGTACACTTTCAGAAACTAGAAAAAGAGTAAACAAAACCCAAAGCTAGCAGAGGTACAGAAATAATGAAGAGCAGAGTGGAGATAAACAAAATAGTGAATAGAAAAATAAAAGTAATGAAACCAGAAGTTGTTTCTTTCAAAAGACCCACAAAATTGACAAACCTTTAGCTAGACTGACCAAAAAAAAAAAAGAGAGAAAACTCTCATTACTAGAATAAAAAATAACCTATGGGACATTACTACCAATTTTACAGAAATAAAAATAAGAATACTATGAACTGTACACCAAACTGAATAACATATAGCATTACCCTGATACCAAAGCCAGACAAAGACACTACAAGAAAACTATAGATCACTATCCCTTATGAATACTAATGCAAATATCCTTAATAAAATACTAATAAACTGAATTCAGCAGCACAGTAAGAGGATTATACAACCAAGTGGATTTATCCAGGAATGCAAGTATAGTTCAATATACAAAAATCAATCAACATAATAAAATACATTAATAGAATTAGTGTGAAATTAATAATTGTGACTAGAAAACCACAAGATGATCTCAATTGATGAAAAAAAAAAAAAGAATTTTACAAAAATCAACACCCTTTTATTAAAAAATCAAACTAGGAATAGAAGGAAACTTTCTCAACATATTAAAAGCCAGTTATGAAAAACTTACAGCTAACATCATACTAAACTGTGAAAGACTGACAGGTTTTCCTCTAACATCAAGAACAAAAAAAAGATGTCTGTCTTCTCCACCTCTATTCAGCATTGCACTGGAAGCTGTAGCCAGAACAACTAGGCAAGAAAAAAGAAATTAAAGGCATCTAGTTTGGAAAGGAAGCAGTAAAATTATCAGTATTTGTAGACGACATGACCTTACACATAGATTATACAAAGATTCTAAACAACAACAACAACAAAAACTAAGCTAATGAATGCATTCAGCAAAGTTGCAGGATACAAAATCAACAAAATCAGTTGCATTTCTATACACTTGTAATGAAAAATCCGAAGAAACACATCCAATCATTTAAAAGGCACTTTCTATTATCTTTCAGATAGCTGTTCTATTTAATACTGTTTACTGTAATTGTTGGCTCATGATGTAGGATTATTTCCTGGTGTATTTTGTAATTTTTGTTCTCACTTTTTGTGGAAATTGTTTTTTCTGTAAGAATGCCTTGTGGCCTGGCTTCTGAGAGCCCCACTTGCCCTACACCCTAACCCTGCCCCACCCCCAGCCCAGAGTAGGTTTACATTTGCTTTTGCCAGACACTCAAGGACTCAAGGTCCATGACAATTTTTGATGTTGTTAATTTCTTGACTTGTGGTTCCTAATCACATAGTAGAAATTTCAAGCATACCCCCAGATAAGGCCCATGCACAGTTTCTCAGAGGAGACTTATCCACCCCTGCCCCTTGGAGACAGAGACTGACAAACCTCTCCCCATGGCAGGAAGCAGATATTTTCCTTTTTCACTGTTTCAATGAAGGTCCTTTGGGAGTCCCAGTCTTATGCAGTAGTCAGGGTGCTGGTTCCAACTCCTCACCCAAGATTTTGTCTCCTGTCCTCAATTACCATTTTGGTTTTACAGTTCTTTCTTCATTTCTGGCACCTAGGGATTTCTCTTTCTAAATGTTTATATAGTTTACCCAGAATTTGTATGTGTGTGCAACAGGAGAGTTTACAAGTTATTCTTGTCAGTCATCTTGATAGATCTGGGTCCCCTCCTTCTTTCTTGAAACCATTTATTTTCTCTCTGCTCTGAAAGACCATATATACTCATGGTTTTCCTCTTATCTCATGGGATGTTATGAGGATTCAGTGACATGATGCAAACAAAATAAAATGCTTAGCACAGGGCTGGCACTTAATAATCAATAGTCATCAACCTAACGGACCCCATGGACACTTTCTTCAAAAAACATTTATTAACATTTCAGGGAAATCTTAATGTTCCAGAGTATGAAATCTAGGAACTAATGACTTAAAGATTACACTACCTGAGATTTCATTCTGATTTTATTCCTCCCACCTCCAATAATTTAAGACTACATCAAAACGAAAAATGTTAAAGCAGTCCTCTTCAAGAATAAATCCCCAAAGGGCCTAATCCAGCGGTTCTCAACCTTCCTAATGCCACAACCCCTTAATACAGTTCCTCAGGTTGTGGTGACTCCCAACCATAAAATTATTTTCATTGCTCCTCTATAACTGTAATTTTGCCAGCGTTATGAATCGTAAATATCTTTTTGTTTTCCGATGGTCTTAGGCGACCCCTGTGAAAGCATCGTTCGATCCCCAAAGGGGTCGCGACCCACAGGTTGAGAACCGCTGGCCTAATCAGACTAAATTAAGAACATATACTGATAAACTAAAGTATGAAAAATCTAGTACTCAAACAATATTTAAGTATTCAGTTCTATAACACACTTCATGTAATGAAGAAACTACACAGCCACGTAATTTTAAATAAAAATAAATTTTAAAGCTGTTTCACTATCTCTGAAGGTACAAGTCAGCAACTTTTAAACAGTGGCTAGAATTAACAGAATCAGTTTAGTCACTTGCAACCAGCACTGTAAAAATGAAATGAAATAGAAAATACCAGAATGCATTGTACAAAGGGTCAACCAATGTTCAAGAAACTTCTTTTTCATACATATAATGTATGGACTGGGTTATAATATATAAAATGTGAAACATGTTACTGTGGGGTTCACGAAGTTTGAAAAACACTACTCTAAAGCAAGCAATGAATCTTAACCATAGCTTTGTGAAACGTCCCTAGCCAATCTGTCCAGAAATGTTTTCTAACTCCTTAATTTATAAGCTTTAATTAATATAACTAAATGTTTTTTGAAAAAGTAAAATATTCAGGCCAAAAAATTCACAGAATACTTCTGAAGAGTCAAGATCATCACGTAATCCAATGTTAAGCTCTTACAATATCAAAGAGGTTTGTAATCTGTGCTCTGAGACACTGGATTCAAGGCAATGTTATTTCCAATTTTATACACAACTATCCTTGAATAATTCACTTCTCCCAACTTAGTAGAAATTAATGATTAAGAAACAACTTCTTGCAGCAAGCTTTATTATTCAAAATACCCCTTCTTGTTTCTGATATCCGAAGGGTATTCACTTCATTCAAAATATACAACATCAAAACTAAAAGAACCAGAGATGCTTTTCCTACAATGACAACCAAGAAACTTACGAAGCTCAGTAAAATCATCTGTAATCTTCTACAAATCTTGCATATACAAATACACTGCTATAAATGCTTCATTTGTCATTCTAGTTTTCAAAATAATTCACACGAAAATATTTTGACCAGGTTTTAGATTTTTTTAGTCTCACGTAGTAGTAGCTAATTGGAGATTTTTAAATCTGGTCTGTATACAATACTTCAAATTATAGCATTAATTACAACGTTATTCTCTATAATACTTTATGTGGCATAATTCTGTAATAAAATTTTCTTAAAGGTTAAATGAAAATCTATTTCCAGATCTTTCATTTGGTTTAGATTTCCGAATTATTTCAGAAGATTAAAGAAAGAAAACTAGATGGCACAGCCAATTCACACCACAAATTCTTAATGCTAACAAAATAACTATAGTACTTCTAAAAATAGAGCAACTAATTTCTGACAGCTGAAGTATACATACACAGTCACTATGAAATTATCATTTTCTGGTCTTGATAGCACTTATCCTTATTTGAAATTATCAGTTTGTGCCTGCCCTCTCAACACATTTTTTAATGTAAGCTCCCATTTTGCTGACAAAATACTGCCAGCACCTAGCATAAAACAGAGCACAAAAAGGGTTTCAAATGTTAACTAAATGAATATTAAATACCACCAAAAATAGGATGGGCTTCATCAGAGTAGAAGGTCCTTCATCACTGGGGAAGACCACTCATCAAGAATAAGAGTTTGGATAAGACCATAAACTCATTATTAAAACATACAGCTCTTGATATTCTAAAAAATACTATAGCACGCAAGCAGCATGTACTCATTAAAACAGTTACTTTTAAATTTTTCTTACTGTCTTGATTTCTTCAATTTCTTTTACATTACTATTATAAGAAAAAAACTACAACAATTATTTTAACAAAGACAAATCAAACAGATCATTCAATTAAAAAATAAAATGACTTTTCTTTTTAGTAAGTACCTTTTCTTGAAAAACAACAGCAGTTTCCAGCCCTGGCATGATGTCCAGTAGAAGTCTGCAAGCTGCAGTGTTTAAAGGGGGCTCTCGGCTTGTCATTACATAAGCATTCACCAGCTATAAAGAAAAGAAGGAACACTTTTTGTCTGAAATTCAATCCAGTCAAATTAATAAAGTCTAATAAATGCTTAATATATTTTCATAGCTTGCATAAGAGTTATTAAAGAAGACTGTGCCTAACAATTACTAATTAAACTTTTAATTATTATAGTTATGATCCCGCTGAGCCATGATGATATCATATATTTCTTCTGCAGCTTTATAGTCATCAAATCCCCCAAAACAACTCATCAACCATAGAAATTAAAGCTCAAAAGGTATCTCAAAGAAATCACCCCCCCTTCGCTCACATAAATTCCTTTCAGAAAGATAAAGCAAAGAAAGATAAGCTCCCCCCCTCAGACTCTCGACAATGGTTATGAAAAAAACTGAATTTTGTGTATTTATATATTATATGAGATTCAATGTAAATAAATGTATTAATGCAACTTTCCTTTGGGCACTCGTCAAATATTAACTGAATCTCTACTACAAAGTGGCACTGTGTTCTGTGCTGGGTATACAACACTGAATAAGACACAGTCCCACCATCAAAGGGTTCATCACCCAACAGAAATGCAATTGGGAAAACAAATATCTTGGGTACAGAATGCTACAGAAGCCTACAGGAGGCCACACACCCCTGCAGAGGAACTGGAGAAGGCTTTAGAGAGGAAAGGATCCTAATTCAGAACGTAAAGGGCAAATAGGAGTAGCTAGGAGGAGTGCAAAAGAGAGGAGGGCCAAAGGGCAAGAACTGAAAACTGAAAGAACAAAAGGCCAGAGACGGACTGGGTATACATATAAAACGAAAAAATTTAAGATTTATCTTTAGGGCAATAGAAAACCACAAGTGGATTTTAAGCAAGAGGCTGCTGTGACAACTTTTTGCATTTTAGAAAGAATTCTGGGATATAAAGTGAGGAATGGGTTGGAGGAGGACTAGACAAGAAGAGAAACCAGTGAAGAGGCTACTGAAGTAACCAAGTGAGAAATGGTAGTGGCTAAACTAAGGTCTAGCAATAAGGGCAGAAAGAAGTGGAGGGATTTGTGAAGTTTAAGGGGGAGGGAACAATAAGACCTATAAGTTCCTTGAATGAGAGTTTCGAGGAATAAAGGATAACTTCTAGCTAACTAGAAAAGGACACCATTACTGAGCTAGAAAACAAGAGAAACAGTTTGTGGAGCAAACAACCAGAGACATGGAATTCAGAAATCAGCTGAAGTGACGTGAAGCTGAGAAGATACACTGGTGAAAAAGAAACAAATGGGGGAGTTAATACAATATAGATAATAATAGCTAATATTTACTGAGCCTTCATGTACCAGGTTCTGTGCTAAGCACTTTTCATGCTTAATTTCATTCAAGAATTACAAAAACACTTTAAGGTAAGAACTATCATCCCTATTTTATAGATTAGGAAAATAAAGCTTGGAGAAGCTTAAGTCAACTAAAGATCACACTGAATAATGGAGCTACATTTAAACTCAAAACATGGACACACACACACCCCCCAAGCCCATATTTTCAAGCTTCATGTCATTCTGCCTCCAAAAATAGCCACAATATATTGAGAAATTATTACGTTTAAGAGCTGCAAGTGAGATATGTGTGTGTGTGTGTGTGCGTGTGTGTGTATTTATTTCCCCCCTCTCGTTTAGTCCTCAAAAGAGTTAGATAAGGCACCTTTCCCTCAACATGCACTATGCGCACACCACAGAGTCAGTGCAGAATCATGCCACACACATCACTCTTATTTTTCTACTGAGGAACCCAAGGGAACTCCTATAGTCCCAAACTCAAAATCATCTTGCCCAAGGATGAGCACAGACATTTTGGGAGTCCTCACCAATATTCAACTGAAGAAAGTACAGACCTTGAGAAAACACCTTGGACTTTAGTAAAAAGGAAGCCCATGATAACTCTTATTTCATTGAACTAATACCAAATTTAAAAAAACAAAAATCTACCCACTCAATTCCCAACTTTGTCAAGGCCCCAGAAGAAAACAAACTATTTACAAAAAAATAGTAAGGTACAGCATCTGCTGATAATCTGGAGAAAATAAAGAAGCAAACCTACTGCATTCATGAAATCATCATTCTTGAAGAGTATTCTCAGCAAGTGGCCCAGCATACACTCTGGATCAGCTCGACCTACCAAAATAGGGAAGAACAAAGGAATGAGTAAGTCATCCCAGTCAGGCAACTCCAACCTCTGCAAAGGCACTCAGGTTGTGTTAAGTACTGTTAAAATGCCAGCAAAAATAAACAGAAACAAAGAAAATATTACTTTGATGAATTAAGATTTCTTAAGATTCTTTAAAATTAAAAATGACAATGTAAAAAATTGAGACACTGCTCTCTAAACTTCCCATCTCCCAGCTTACTGCCTACAAAGTAATGCTAAATCAAACAAATGAGCACTAGACCCAGGCCAGTCTTGTTAAATCTATACAAGGTCTACAAAAAAATCATCAAGGAGCCTAAGAGAAAGAAAACCCCTGGCTTCCCAGCCACAGGAAGGTACAAAGCACAACTCCTTTTGACGGGTAGCCTGAAAAAGAGAGGCTCCAAGTCCAATCTCCCTTTCAACTACAATGCCAACAGCAACAGAAATGTGTCCTCAAACGTGTAATGAGACCCTGTGACACTCCCGGTCGGGGATCCCACTGAGCAATCAACCAACTCTAAAGATACAGTAGCTTTGGCCATCTTAATTTCCGAGCTACTGGGGAGAGAAAGGAGACCAGGGACCTAGGATCTATTCAACCCACAGCCTAAAGGTAAAAAAAAAAATAAAAAAATTAGTTAATTGTTGGGAGAATTATTGGTTTGTCTTTAAAACAGATACCATCTATTTTATTTAATTTTCCTTTCAAAACATTAGAGTAGCAAACTTAGTCAAAGAATATAATTTAGGATGAAGATGTAAGCTGCTGATAAGAAGTTTTTACCAAGCTGTAATTAGTTTCCCAAAGTAATTCACAAAATGTTAGAGAATAGTATCATAAAAATAAACGAACACCTCAGATTACCAACAGAAATTTCTGTTTATAAATGATGAAACTGAGACCCTTATTTTTATTAATAGAAATTACACCTAATCAAATATTGCTTAACATAAGAGGTATGGAGGAAAAATTGTCGTTAAATTTCTACTGGAAAAAGGCGTATCTTTCTGTCTCTCCCTCTACCTCGTTACCATTTCATCCTTTCTAAGGCAGTATCACTAAGCATGATCATCTCTTTTAACTCTTTTCATAATGCCATGCATTACTGAAATTCTTGTTTCACATTCACTTTTGTACTTCTTTATGCTTTGACTGCCTTACTGAAGATGTGGGTTAAACAGGAGAATAGTCCTCTGAATTCGGTCACAAGTGAGGATGTCTAGGACAAGAATAGCAGGTAACATCACATAAACTGGACACTCAACCTGAAATGCCTAACTTACTTACATTTGAGAACAAATGTCTAAGAAATAGAAATAAACCCTGAAACATTCAGCTAGATATACAATGTTCTTATTTTTATAACTCCCACTCATTCTCACTATCTCCCCACATCCAAAATCTCAAACTCTTTTCTCCACAAAGGACTGCTTCTGGCTTTAGAGAAAGTTTACATGCAGTTGTGGGGCCATACACGACTTAGGCTTTGCCCACTAGTAATCTACCTTGGAACACAAAATGGCAAAGTCTCAAGTCCCATATAGTTCTGTATTATAACAAATTCCATGCTAAAGCAGGCTGGGTTGTCATGGCTCTAATTAAAATAGCCCAAAATAAAACTAAATTTACATAAGACGGCATACTTGAGCTGTCAAAACACTAAAGCAGACATCAAGAAGTCTGTTTATTATTTAAGGTTCCAAGTATCAACATCATAACTAAAAGCAAGGCACTGAATGCATTCTCAACTACATTTCCCCATCAGTAAAAGAACAGTTGTCATTTTTTAAAAAATGAAAGCTGAAGATAACACCTATGGTTTAAAAGTCAGAAAGACAGAACATTTTTCTCTTTTTAAGTCTTTGTAATCATACCAAGAGTCAATAAGTTATACCCACATAATTTAGTTCCTTTAAGTTAGTTATGTTCTACTGGATCTGTAAATATTACAAATATTTCAATTTTTCCAGGAATTTATTTTTTCTCACTGACCCCCCACCACCTTGAGCAATATTTTAACAAATAATAGGTCTTAAGACTTAGCATGAAAGATGCTATTTCAAGTGAAAAACATTTCTATTAAGTTTCTTTTGTAAGAAAATTAGAGCAAGGCTTCTTAAAAGAACACAAGTCTCACCAGGATGTCGGTCATCAAATGGGTCTGGATCCCCTTTACGATATTCTTCAGTTTCTTTTTCAATCAATTCAGACATCCTAGCACAAAAGAAAGGCAGGGTCAACTCTAGACAAGCATATAAAAACATGTACCACCAACTAAAATAGTAAACTCAATAGTCAAGGTGTAAAATAAAAGCACCAAGTTAGAAAAAGGGTGTATTCCTGAGGAACAGAGAGATCTAAACAACCATCTCATAAAACAATTTCCACTCCCAAGAGCGCAATGAAATACCAACATGGGCCAGTGAAGCAGCGTCCTCCACAACTAGGCTGAAGAACAAAAGGACAGCAACTTGTCTGCTCCCCTCCCCCAATTCCCCAATAAAATCTTAAAAAAAACCCCACAATTTCCACCCCCAAACTTATTCTTCTCTCCTCACAAGCACTACCATTCCTTCAGAAGCCGAACCCAGGAGTCATCATTAAAACCTTTTCTCCTCATCCCCTACAATAATTCCTGTTAGCTCTACCTACTAAATATCTCCTGACTTCAATCATTTCTCTAAATCTTGACCATTCCTATCCTTATCCAAACCGCCATGAAAGTCAACTGCCCGGACAACTTGCAACAGCCTTTTCGCTGGTCTCTTTGCTTCTTGATTCCATGTTTGACCTGACAATTCATTCTCCAACTTCCAATGACTTACCACAATAACCTGAATTAAACCCAAGCATTACTATGGCTTACAATAATCTGGATTCCGCCTGCATCTTTGACCACTTCTACTCCTCCACCCCTCTTTCATTAAGCTTCAGTCACAGAGCCTTCTCTGCTCTTCAAAGAGTCCAAGTTCATAACTGCTTCAGGGCCCTTCCATATGCTGTTACCTCAGCCTGTAACACGCTTCCTCCCCCACCTAAGCTCTCACCCCTGCCCCCGAGCACACGACAAATTAGCAAAAATTCTTACCCACTGTATATTTTTCCCCATCAAGCCTTAAAAATATTTCTACTTTTTCTACCTTTCCCTCTAAACTCTGAAAATGCTCTTTACCACAAAGGGCAATCACACAAAATATATTTTAAATTACATAGTGTAAGATCTACTAGTACCTTCAGTTGAAACTAAGCAATATAGCACAGCAGAAACTAAAAACATGGATTCTGGTGTCAGATGGCCAGGGTTCAAATCTTCCACTGTGTGTGACTTTGGTCAAGTTACTTAACCTCTTTGTGCCTCATCTGCAAAATGATGGCAACAGGCCCTACTTCACCAAGTTTCCTTGAGGTTTAAGTTAATATATGTGCTCTGCCTTGGAACAAAGCCTGACTTTGATATGTGAGAGCTATTTAGGTGGTGTTACTATGAACACTGAGAATCAAAAACAAACAGAAAAACAATTTAGGGTAGATACAGACTGGGATGGGGCAGGAGGGAGCCTTATGAGGTGGTACTCAGGCTCTGTAACTTGATCTGGGTGATGATCTTACAAGTTAAAAAAAAAAAGCTATCAAGCAGAGTACTGTACAGTATATAAATTATATCTCAGTAATATTTTTTTAAAAAGCCAACAGAGAACCTAGGTTAAGCTCACATAGCTTGGCCCAATGCCAGTCCCTTTTCACAGAATCAAGTCAAAGGCTTGACTATAATAAACAAAATAACATAATAATAAATAAAATATATTGAAGTTCTAAACAGTCATACATTTTTATTAGGAAAATTGTCAAAAGATCATAAAAATAATGGTTAATAAAAGAGTAGGTAGGCCTGAAAATTCATTTGCCTCTCATGGAATATCCCAAAACACCAAACCTGCAGCCAGTTGAGGGCAGGCGGGGAGGCGCTATGAAGGCACTTCAGGAAGTATCCAGTGAACTAACAGACTCACAATTTGGAGGATGGTAGGAGTTGTCCCTATCTAAACGAAACTATACTTTTAATTAATCCTGTTGTCTCTTAAACTCCCTAACTTTGAAAATCTTTTTAAGATCTTGCTGCATATAACTTTAGTGTCCATTCCTACCTTATATTCACCCTCCACTCTGGTGGGGCCCATTTTCTCAATGCCACAAAAACATGCCTAAGTTCATTCTCTCAATTCTTTCTCCGGTCATATTTTTCACTTTTCCTAGAAAATCTTGTTTCTCTGCTTTTCATCAAGCTATATTCTACCATCATTCAAGTCCCTGTTCCAAGGAAACTTTGCCTCTTATACTGGAAAGCCCACTGGAACTGGAGTTAAAATCCAGGATTTTATCCTTAGCTATGCAGTCTTTTCCAAGTAGCTCTGATGATGGCTTTCTTTTAACAATGTAACTAACTCAGAGTGATACTTTTAGTGACAAATGAGGAAGCTGCCATTCAGAGACATGTTTCACATAGTTCTGACACACAAAAGGTCCTCAAATATTTGTTGAGTGAATAAAAGAAACTGACTCATTCAAGTTCTTTCCATTCTCATAACCTGTACAATATTTATGAACCATACTGAGGGTTTTACAATTTAATTATACAGTATTTTGTACTAGTCTACATTGTTTCTTATCCACTAGTTGCCTCCCAGGTTAGCTCCTTTGAAGACAGGGCCCTGTGTTTAGGCTTTGCATTGCTGAATATCTTAGCAGTGACAAAGATGATGGTCAAATGTGACAATAAATGTGAAATAGCCTTGAAAATAAAACATTTGAGTATTTTTAGTATATGTGCTCAATAAATTTTTTTTTTTTTTTTACAGATTTTATTGGGGAGTTGGGAGAGGGGAACAGTGCTGGGGAATTGGGGGAAGGGGAACAGACAAGTTGCTGTTGTTTTGTTCTTTAGTCTAGTTGTGGAGGATGTTGCTTCACTGGCCCATGTTGGTATTATCATTGCGCTCTTCCTGGGTGAGGCAGATCAGTCGCCGGTCTCTGGACGGCCGCTCACTGCCGGCTGCTGGCCGCTCACGCTGGCTACTGGCTACACACGGTAGCTTATGGCAACCCACTGCAGCAGGGGCTGCAGCCTACGCCGTCGCCGGCGACCCACAGCAGCCCAGCTCCAGGTCAAGCTGTTGTTCAGCATCTTAGCTGTAGAGGGCAGTGTCACTGACCCTCATATGTGGGATCCGAACTGGGGCCCTCTGGCATCCCAAGCCAGTTCTTAACCAACGCGCCACTCGGCCGGCCCTCAATAAATATTTTTGAGCAATTAAGTGAACCCACCGCTAACGTTATCATCCCCATTTATGACTCTCTCCTCCTTTCAGTTAGTACATCGATAATCCACATTTTAACTGCACAATACTTTTTCTTTTTTCTTTTGTTTTTTTAAAGAAATTTTATTGGAAACAGTGTGTTTTTCCAGGACCCAAGAGTTCCCAGTAAAGAAGCTGTCTTCAATCTAGTTGTGGAGGGCGCAGCTCCTCGGCCCACGTGGGAATCAAACCAGCAACCCTGGTGTTATGAGCCTGTGCTCTAACTACCTGAGCTAACCAGCCATCCCAATTGCACAATACTTAAGATTCTTTAATTCACTGCAGCTGCATTTCAAGTATCTTGTGATTATTTCTTAGTCTCCAATGTCTCTACAAATTAAAACCCACTTTCCACCAGTTAGCAACAATTCTGTCCTTAAAAATACTGTACTTTCACATGTTCCCCATGTTATCAAGACAAAAGCACTTATCCCTATTAAACTTTCATAAGATCACAGTTCTCTTTATCCTTAAAGAACAGATCACTGCATAAACAAAAACCTTTTTTCATTATGATTTCAAAGATTAGATGTTAAAGACTCCCATGTTCCAGTGACCTTCTACCTAGAAAAAACATAGGCATCCTCCCTCCCCAGGCTTTATTTTTTACTTTCTCTACTCCTTAACACATTCATTCAATAAAATTATGTCCCACACAATAACTATGTACTGGGCAGTAGACAAGTCATTGTCTGACGAGATAACCAATAGAAAGGTGTAGCACCTGCCTTCAAAAAGCTTACATTTTAGTGAGGAGACACATGTAAAAAGACAACTATAGTACAATGTGGTAGTTAACATGGGAGGAAATTATTGCATATATATGACATATCATATACATATCATATGCATATATATCAGATATATATGTGTGACAAGTATTAAAAAAAATTTTTTTTAAGGTGTGCCCAAATCTACTTAGGGACATCAAAGTCAGAGGTTAATTTACAGACATGATTCTTGAACTGTTTCTTGAAAGGACTAGAGCTTACCAAGAAGACATACCAAGAAAAAGCATTTCAGGCCAAAGACACAGCAACTGTAAAGGCACACAGACATGAGGATATATGGTAACATTCCTTACTGAAGGAGATCAACACTATGAGGCAGAAAAAGGAGGTGGGGGCCAAATCATAACTGGCCTCATAGGCCAATCTCCCTTTTATCCTGTAGGAAAAAAGAGAGCCAGGGAAGAATCGTGGGCAGAGGTTTTGGAGCTACCCATAATTCCAAAGGAGAACAAATATTTCCAAAAGCAAAAAATGACAGTCAGATTTGTTTATGAGAAGGGTGACTCTTTCAGCAAAGGGAGGCTGTATCAGGAGAAGTAAACTGGAGACAGAGGGATAATGCACACTACTGCCTAATGGGCTAGTCAAGAAACAATCCAGACCTAATGAAGGAAGCAGTAGTGGGGATGGGGAAGAGGAAGAAGCAGAATACTCAGGGCTCAGTGACTAAATGTGCTGGTAGAGGAATTCACTAGGGAGGATGGTTTCCAGTTTTTCCGTTTAAAACCATTTACACTGTGGCAGGGACTAACAAAAGCACAGCTGTGAATAAGGAGGAAGGGAGGATGAATACAATAAGCTCTGTTTTGGACATGGTATATTTCAGATGTCTCTGGAATATCCAGGTAAAGATGTGTACAGCAAACAGCTGAGAAATGCATCTGAAATTTTAAAAGAGAGACGTCTGAAGTAGAAATAGAGATTTGAAAGTTGGCATAGAATACTGTTTCAAACCATGGACAGGAATAAAAATTAGGTAGAATATTTAGGGTGAAGAGAGAAGAGAACCACAAACAAAACCCTGGAATGAAACCACAGGCAGAGAAAAAAACCTACAGAGGAGAATGAGGACAAAAGGCCTGAAAGGAAAGGTAAGAAATTTAAAGAGCTTCAACTAGTAAGGAAATAAAGGCTAGTTCTAAAAGGGGAAAAAAAAATGGATTTAGAATTCACAATAAAGGCGAAATGTTCCTATACTGTTCTCCAAGTTTTCCTTCTTTTAAAAATAATTGTTTAAAAAACTTCATTGTTCATACCTGGTAAGGATAGGTACCATGTCCTGCCCACTGCCGTGTTCCTTTTCCCACTGCTCCAGCAGGGTGGTGAGCTCAGCTTTGGAGTCCACATGTACCGCTACTGTAGTCATGGCTTGGCCTAAGAAAGCAAAAAAGAAACAAAACTAAGTAACACTAAATGAAGACAGGCAAGAAAACCTGACATACTTCCTACAAAAAGAAAAGTGAGGAGGGAAAAAAAGAAGGGTGAGGAAGCATAGGAAATAATTAAAAGCATGGAAAATTTAACCCTTGGCCCTTTAGATAATTTTTTTGTGGTACAGTGGGAAACCTGAGACTGGAAGCCTGGATACTCAAGTCATGATGAACCAGTCCTGTCACTTCTCTCAACCTCAGCTTACTCAATGTCAAATGAGATAAGGAACCGACTGAAATCGATTCTTCAACTTTCTAGGATCAGGAACCCCTTTGAGAATCAGACAAAAGCTATGTACGGTCCCTTTCACCACCTCGAAAATGCACATACCTGTACACCATACATAGAGTAAGATATCGAAGGACACAGAGCTTAGACAGGCTTTAGAGGAGCCGCATGAAAAACAGACACAGGGAGGTTTATAAGGGGCTCCAAACAGGATAAATGAGACCCAAGTATTTAAATAGTTTATAGATTAACTTCTTTGCCAAAGTAGTTTTAGGATCAAAATGTCAGATCCTGCCATGCAAAATGTGTATTTTCACTGAAATAGCAACTGTTCTATAAAAAGTTTCACACCAGAAAAGGATTACTAACTCATCTAGAATTATTGTTCATACTTCTGAAGATTATCTACCATAAGACCAAAAGGAATATGTAAAAGATGGCATCAACTTTCTAAAATGTAAACATCTGTGCTTTAATAAAGTAAGAGGCAATTCTGACAGTAGTGATTCATGTCACCTGCACTACCCATAACTCCAAAGAGGAACAAATATTTCTAAAAACAAAAAAATTAAAAGGCTTCTTTTCTGCAGAAAAGAATCCACATTTTCAGACTTTCGAATCAAAGTTACAAAAAGGAAATGATGCAGGTATGACTGACAAATATGGACTTCTGACCTTCAGAAAACCCAAGCTGTATTTTTTACTGTGACCACTAACTATACATGCGTATTTTAAAATAAATTTCTTACTTTGAATAATTTTAAATTTACAGAAAAGTTGCGAAGAGAATAGTATTCCCATACACCACTCACTCAGTTCAGTTTCCCCTAATGTTACCATCCTATTATATAGTGGTACAGTGTCAAAATTAAGACACCCAACATTGTTACATGATTATTAACTAATCTCCAGATTTAATTCAAATTTCACCAGTTTTTTATTCATGTCCTTTTTCTGTTCCAAGATTTCATCCAGGACACTACACTGCATTTATTGTAGTTGTCATGTTTCCGTAGTGTCCTGTGGTCTATGAGTTTTTGAGTCTTTCCTTGTTTTTCATGACCTCGGCAATCTTGAGAAGTAGACAGGGGGGTAAGGTGGAGCAATAATTTAACCACACATTTACAGAAGAATTAACATCAATCCTCAAATTCTTCCCAAAAAATAGACCAGGAGCGACACTCCATAATTTATTCCAGGAAGCCAGCATTACCCCCATACCAAAGCCAGATAAAACATCACAAGAAAACTAAAGACCAATATACTTCATGAATATAGATGCAAAATTCCTCAACAAAGTACTAGCAAGCTGAATACAGCAGCATATAAAGGATTATATATCATGACCAAGTGGGATTTATTCCAGAAATGCAAGGGGGGGCGGGGTTTCAATGCACAAAAATCAATTAATGTAATAACGCCCACATTAACAGAATGAATGAGAAAAAAATGACCATCTAATTGATACAGAAAAAGCATCTGACAAAATCCAACATCCTTTTGTGATGAAAACACTAAAACTGGGAACAGAAAATAACTTCCTCAACATGGTAAAGGGCATTTAAAAAAGAAAAAAGAAAAATCCCACAACTAACATACTCAATGGTGAAAGACTGAAAGCTTTCCCCCTAAAATGAGAAACAAGACAAGGTTGCCCACTTTCACCACTTATATTAAACAATGTACTGAAGTTCTAACCAGAGCAATTAGTCAAGAAAAAGAAATAAAGGCATCCAAGTTGGAAAGGAAGCAGTAAAATTATCTTCATTCAGAGATGACACAATCCTACATACAGAAAATCCTAAAGAACCCACCAAAAAAAAACTGAGTTAATACATTAGCAAAGCTATAGAGTACAAGATCAACACACGACAATCAGTTGTATTGCTATAAGCATACACACAAGCAATGAACAACCAAAATATGAAATTAAAAAAACAATTTCAGGTCAGCCGAGTGGCGCGTTGGTTAGGAGTTGGCTTGGGACGCCAGCTCTGAGCAGCAGAGCCCCGGTTCAGATCCCACATGAGGGCCAGTGATGCTGCATCCTCTGCCAGCTGGGGTGGTGGGCAGCAGCTTGACCTGAAGCTGGGCTGCCATGAGTCGCTGGTGAAGGCGTAGGCTGCAGTGGGCTGCCATGAGCTACCGTGAGTGGCGGCAGCCACTGTGAGCGGCCGGCAGCCAGCATGAGTTGCCAAGAGCCGCCATGAGCAGCTGTTCAGTGGCCGGCGACCGATCTGCCTCAACTGGGAAGAGCACAATGATAATATCAACATGGGCCAGTGAAGCGCCATCCTCCACAACTAGACTGAAGAACGAAAGGGACAGCAACTTGTCTGTTCCCCTTCCCCGATTCCCCAAAGCTGTTCCCCTCCCCCAATTCTTCCAATTCCCCAATAAAATCTTTTTTTAAAAAAATTCATTTATAATCACACCAAAAAGAATAAGTTATTAAGGAAAATTTTAACCCAAAAAGGCACAAGACTTATACACTGAAAACTACAAAACATTGCTGGAACTAGAGAAGGCCTACAGAAATGGAAAGACATTCTGTGTTCAAGGATTAGAAGACTTAATATTGTTAACATGGCAATACTCTACAAAGCGGTCAAAAGTCAGTGCCATCCCTATTAAAATCCTAATAACCTATTTTGCAAAAATGGGAATGTCGATCCTAAAATTCATATGCAATTGCAAGGGACCCTGAATAATCAAAATAATCTTAAAGAAGTTGGAGAATTCACACTTCCGATTTCAAAACTTGCTACAAAGTTACAGTAATCAAAACAGTGTGGTACTAGAAAGACACATATACCAGTGCAACAGAATTGAGAGTCCAGAAATAAAATCTCACATTTATGGTCAACTGATTTTCACCATGTGTGCCAAGACCATTCACAGGGAAAGAATTTGTTGAAAGACCATTAGACCATTAATAGAAAGACTAATGGTCCCTCAATAAATTGTGCTGAGACAACTGGGTATCCACATGCAAAGGAATGAAGTTGGATCCTTGCCTCACACCAAATACAAATTTATTCAAAATGGACCCAAGACCTAAATGTAAGAATTTAAACTACAAAACTCTTTAGAGGTAAACATAAGGGAAAATCTTAATGACCTTGAAATTGACAAACGATTTTTATTTATGACACCAAAAGCATAAGCAAACAAGAACAAACTGGACTTCAAAATCTTAAGTTTTGTGCATTAAAGGACACTCAAGAAAGTGAAAAGACAACCCAAAGAATGGGAGAATATTTGCAAATCATATATTTGATAAGTATCTAGTATCCATAATACATAGATAATTCCTACAACAAAAAAACCGACTCGAAAACTGGCAAAGGACTTGAATAGACATATCTCCAAAGATATACAAATGGCCAACAAGCACATGAAAGATGCTCAACCTCATTAGTAAAATGAAAATCAAAACCACCAGATACCACTCACACCTACAAGGATAACTACATCCAAAAAAATCAGGAAAGGGCCGGCCGAGTGGTGCGATGGTTAAGAACTGGCTTGGGATGCCAGAGGGCCCCGGTTCGGATCCCACATATGAGGGTCAGTGACACTGCCCTCTACAGCTACGATGCTGAACAACAGCTCAACCTGGAGCTGGGCTGCCATGAGTCACCGGCGACGGCATAGGCTGCAGCCCCTCTGGCAGTGGGTTGCCATGGGCTACTGTATATAGTCAGCAGCCAGCATGAGTGGCCAGCAGCATCAGTGAGCGGCCGTCCAGAAGCCAGCGACTGATCTGCCTCACCCAGAAAGAGCACAATAATGGTGCCAACTTGGGCCAGTAAAGCAACGTCCTCCACAACTAGACTGAAGAACAAAAGGACAGCAACTTGTCTGTTCCTCTTCCTCCAATTCCCCAGCGCTGTTCCCATCCCCCCAATTCCCCAATAAAATAAATAAATAAATAAATAAATAAAAATCAGGAAATAAGCATTGGCAAGGAGGTAGAGAAATTAGAATGTATGCTGCACATGGAAAAGTAAAATGGTACACAAGTATGGGAAACAGTTTGGTGGCTCTTCAAAAAGGTTTTTAAAAAACATTAAACATAGAATTACCATATGACCCAGCAATTCCACTCCAATGTATATGCCCAAAAGAACTAAAAGCAGATATTTAAACAAATGCTTTTACACAAATGTTCAAAGCACCATATTCACAATAGCTAAAAGGTGAAACTGTCCATCAATGAGTGAATGGATAAACAAAATGTGGCTATATTCATACAATTCAATATTATTCAGCTATAGAAAGGAATGAAGTACTAATACATTACAGCTGTGGATGAATGAACCTTAAAAATGTGGTAAGTCAAAGAAGCCGGACACAAAAGGTCACATATTGTATGATTCTATTTATATGAAACACCTAGAATAGATAAATCCATATACAGAAAGCTACCTAGTGGTTGCCAAGGGCTTGTGGGAGAAAGAAATAGGAAAAGACTCCTTAACGCATATGGGGTTTCCTTTTGGGGTGATGAAAATGAAACTAAAAAGTGATGGTTGCGCAACATTGTTCATCTACTAAAAACCACTGAACTGTACAATTTAAAAGAGTTAATAATTTATGGTATTTGAATTTTTCAATTTTTTAATTAAAAAAGTTAAAGTTCCAGGAGGGACTGCCTTTAGGAAAACTTAAGCTATCAGCCTAGTGAAGTACATAAAACAACATTTAAAGAAAATACTACTTCTAATAAAGGTTATTTCAAAGGCATTAAAATACTAAAATTTTAAAGTTGAATTTAGATATACACTTGTTATCATTTTCAAAACTTCTGATTAATTATGCCTGAGGATAGTTATAATTTTGGGAATAATCACTTGCCCAGGAAAAATATAAACTTATAATTGACTAAAATAATAACATCAATGAGAATTTCACTATCATTGAAAGACTATTAATATAAAAGGTGCAGTCATCTTGTTATGCACAAGACAGTGAAGATGCATTACTCAACTCACCACGTTTTATTTTGTTTTAATTTTTATTTCTTTATTTATTTTTTAAGCTGAGCCATCCTGACACCTGTTGGCAGCTCAGCAGCAGCTCAGCTCAAAAAAATAATTTTAAAAAGGCAAAATGTTCTTTAAGTGGTGTGGAGAATTTATGACCTGTCCAATAGTGACACAATAGTTGCCAATTAGTGATTATTAGTATGGGACAGACACTTGGCTAAGTAATTCACCTAAGTTTTTCCAAATTTTCACAACCACCCTTCCCTTCTCTACAGATGAGGAAATGGGCTCAGAGAGGCCATGGTAGAAAAGAATTTCAAGCATCCATATCCCAACTCTACGGACATATCTGTGAGATTCTGATCAAGTTATTTGCCTTTTCCAAATCTCAATTTCCTTATCTATAAAATGGAAATGATTGTTGTGAGGGTTAAAGGATAATACTGCCCATACAATGGAATAATATAAAGCCCTACAAAACATATATAGAATGTTCTTATCTTTGAAGGGTGGCTGCCAAAGTATTTAGGAGTAATGTGGCTGCAACTTATTTTTACATGGCTCCAAAAAATATACACCACACCTATAGAGACAGAAAATATGGCAAAATACTAACAAATGTTGACTCTGGATGGATAAACAAGTGTTTCTGTTCTCCTATTCTTTCAACTTTTTAATATGTTTGAAACTTCATAGTAAAAAGTTGTAAAAAATTAAGAAGCATTTCCTTTCCTAGTTTGACCAACTTTCAAATATATTGTCAAGGAGTGAGTGAGTGAGTGAGTGAGTGAGTGAGTGAGTGTGTGTGAGTGTGTGTGTGTGTGTGTGTGTGTGTGTGTGTGTGTGTGTGTTTTCCTCGAATAAGATATCCCTGGAAGAATACACAAGAAATTGAGAATATCTATTACTTTTGTGGCAGGTACCGTATTTTACCATGCATAATGTGCACTTTTTTTTTTGCCCAAATTTGTGAGAGAAAAATAAGGATGCACATTATACATAGGTAGTACTAATTCCGTATCTATATGTTTTTAATTTTTATTTATGCTTATGAGTTAAAAATGTAACTCTAGCAATCAATAACGATATCCATATGCAAAATAATACCCTGAAATATGATAATCGGTTTTGTCCAACTTACAATGAACTTGCAACAACGAAGACTTCATGGCATTCTATGATGCGCAAATATCAAATATCGTAAACTTGTTACTGGTACATAAAATTTCTTGTACCTTGTATCTGTTCTTGTGTTTTGCAATTATTTGTTACATAAAATTTCTTGTACCATAACATGTTAAAAAATAAATACTAAATTGCAGCACTATTCACAATAGCCAAGACTTGGAAACAACTGAAATGCACATCGGTAGATGACTGGATTAAGAAACTGTGGTACATTTATACAATGGAGTATTACTCTGCTATAAAGAAGAATGAGATCGTACCATTTTGGACGATATGGATGGACCTAGAGCAGCGGTTCTCAACCTGTGGGTCGCGACCCCTTTGGGAGTTGAAAGACCCTTTCACAGTGGTCGCCGGGTACTCGTATGTGGGTGTATCTGCATGTGGGCCTGGAGACAGATAGAAGAGCGGTGTCTTGGTTCCTAAGACCATCGAAAATATGTGTTTTCCGATGGTCTTAGGCGATCCCTGTGAAAGGTTGAGAACTGCTGACCTAGAGACTATTATGTTAAGTGAAATAAGTCAGTCGGAGAAAGACAAATACCATATGATTTCACTTATATGTGGAATCTAAAAAACTGAACGAGTAAAGTAAACAGAAGTGGTCTTCGAGATATAGAGGAACAACTGATGGCCGATAGTTGGGAGGGGGTGGGGATGAGGGAGAAGGGGAAGGGATTAGACAGCATAAATACTTAACTACAATATTGCCACAGGGATATGAAAGACAGTTCGAGGAATGTAATTAATAATGTTGTAAATATTTTGTAGGGTGTCAGGTGGTCACATGTCTTGCTAGGGAGACTGAATCATGGATGGGGTAGAGGCTTGAACACTACACTGTAAACCTGAAGCTGATGTTGTATAATATTGTATGTCAACTATAAAAATATATATATATATATACATATATATATATATATATATAGTCATGGGACGTGGAGTATAGTGTGGGAGTGGAGTCAAGGGAATTGTAATAGATATGTATGATATTGGGGGGGAAGTGGGGCGGCGGATTGGGGGAGGGGGGTTGTCACCTCGAGGGGTAAAAAGTATAACTATTGCACTGTGTTGTACAGCTGAAACTAATTCTAAAAAATGTGTATTTCACAATAAAAAATAATTTAAAATAAAAAGATAAAAAAATAAAAATAAATGCTAAAATTCCTTTATAATACAAAAGACAAGTACCTAAATGTAAACAAAAATTTAAATTAAAAAATTAGAAGTAAAATTTTTTTCCCCTGAAAGTTTGGGCCAAAAATGTGGGTGCGCATTATACACGGGAGCACGATACACGGCAAAATATGGTAACTGACTTTCTAAGGGATAAAGGTACGAGAAAGATTTTTCATCATCTGTTATTACCCTAGCTCTATCATTTTTCAACTATTTTGTAACCTTTTGTAACTTTTTAATTAAACCATAATATCTGTCCTCTTTTAACACACAATACTGAATGGCCTATTCAGCAGAAATCGTCCCAAAGCCTAAAATGAAGTTCAGGTTAAAGTAAGTTTCCATAAGTTTACAATCCTGAAATAAATGTTTGAAAGCATTTTTCTTCATTTAAAAACAACACCAAGAAAAAACTGTACAAAAATCCAAGTTTGGAGCTTCAAGTAAAATGTGCCCAATAATTAGTATAAAATGAGATCATGTACAACAATTTTCTATTACAATGACCACCTGCTTTACCAAAAAATAAAAATAAGAAAATTGGTAATAAGCCAACTTCAATCACTTCAAGCTAACATGTGGTTCAGTCTACCAGATTCCTCAATTAAATGAAACAACTGTATAACAAGTAAAACAGTAAAACATTGGGCTCAGCAACTACTAATGAGATTTTGAGCATAAAATGATTTCCTTTATATTCCCCAAATTCTGTATCTATTATCTCCTTAACCCCAAAAAATATTTATCACCACTTGGAAATGGATAATGAATAACTGCTTTATACAAAACCCAACTCTTGAAAGCATCAAGCAGAAAAACACAAATCGATTCCTAAAGAGTTTAAACATAAACTTACATAAATCTTAAAAGTAAACTCCAGTAAACTGGAAGAAGAAAATTACAGGACGACACTGCCAATGAAAAAACCTCTCACTCCACATTAACAAAGCGTTTAGAACAGGAAGATGCTACTAATATAAATAACGAAAACATGCAGACTAATTAAAAGGCTTCATTGAAAACACAGGATGGAAAAACTGAGGCCAGGGATGAGTTATTTTGGGACTCAAAAAGAACTGCTACAGATGCTCCAAAACTACTACAAACGCGAAACTCGAGCGCTAACACTGCCATAAGAGGAAACCATCTAGGAAGAGAAGGGGAAGTTGAGCAAACGCCTCTGACATCCCAGTTTGAAACGACTATAACCCACGGAAATAGGCTCCCGGGAAGCTTGGCGGGTCCTTCGAGGTCTGGCTCCACGCCGCAGGACCCGCACACACCTCCGTCCACCCCGCCCCTCCACCATGGGGGTGGGAGGAGTGCCCGGAAAGCTCCGCCCTTCGCCTGATCCGAGAGCCAGGCGGGTGCAGGGGGTGGTAGCACGAGGCCGAGGGAGGGGAAAGCCCGCCCAGGTGACTGGAGCTGGAGGCGGAGACAGCCTGGGAAGGGGGCCGCCGTACAGCAGGGAAGATGGAGCCCCCCAGCCCGTACGGAACCGAGATGGGGAGGACTGGGAGGGAAAAGGTGCCAAGGAGGATAAGAGGGGCCCCTCCTACAGGTAGGGGCGGGCACACCCCAGGCCCCCACTCCGGGCGGAAGAGTTACTCTCGGGGAGCTTCTTTTGCGGACTGAAGGAAGAACGTGGAGGCCCCGCCCCCGAGCCAAGAATCCGGAGGAGGAAAAGTCCTGTCAGGCCTCCGGGCCAGCCTCCCCGGCGGCCCGGCCCGCCCCCTCCCCGCCGGCGGCCCAGGCAGGTGCCGCCCCTCCCCCAGCCCGGCGCCCACTCTCCCGCCTGCCGGGCCACGCGCCCTGTCTCCTCGCGCCTCTCCCAGAGACCAGTCTTCCTCCCTTCCCCACTCACCTTCCCGGGCGGCTCCGCCGCTCCCCGCTGACCCGGCCAGCGGCCACAGTTCACACACACCGCCTCAGGTCCCGCACTCACTCTCCCTCACTCACACACAGCGCGACCACGGCTCCAGAGCGGCCCACATATTTTGCGTCACTCGCGTGTTACGTGCCCCGCGCGCGCGTCCCCCAATTTGGCGCGAGGTTCGCTAGCAGGAGGCGGGAGGAGAACGCCAGCGCGAGCGGAGGAATATCGTCGAGCCCCGGAGCCGCCTGGGAAATGAAGTTCGGCTTCTAGGGGCGGGGACCACCCGTCTTAATTGAAGCAGGAGCCAATCGTCCCCGCGCATTGACTTCTGGGATTTGTAGGTTTTTCAGATTAACGCAAACTGACGTTTTTTCATTGGCTGCTTCCGAAAGCGGAAGCGAAAAGGGAGGAACCAGAGTTCTTCGAAACCAGGGTTATAAACGCTGGATACCTTCTTAGTACCTGATTATGCCCCTTGTGACGGGGGAGAGCCTTCGCTTCATTCTCCCATTTGCGCGTTTATTACTAGAACATATCAGGATCTACGAAAATATTTCCCACAAGCATATCAGAAATCACAGCACTCGTTTAACAGAAGTCCCGGGTTTTTCTTCGTCTTTGTGTTCAAGACCTAGCCTGTAGGATCAATAAATATTTATCCTAGGTATTATACGTGAGGCAGCGAAAAGGAAAAAAAATCAAAAGGCCGTAAGTTAAGGCAGGGCTGAACTCAGAGATCATCTAATTTAATTCCTTTATTTTGGGAGGCCCAGAAAGGGAATGACTTGCCTAACATCACACAACCAATTAGCAGCAGAACCAGAATGACTCCTGACTCAGGGCTCCCTTCGTGAGGACATGAAAGATAAATGTGGATAGCTGAGCAGAATCTCTCCCTAACAAGATCCTCCCCAGCCTTTATCTCTCTGGGAAACCTAAGCAAGTTTCTGGCATTTCTATGGAGTTCTCAGAGCCAACACTTCCACATGGGAACACAGGACACAGCATGCTTGCTGCCAGGTTCAGGTCCTACAACTAGTGAGAAGCTAGTCAAAGCCTGAATGCTGGATCTCTTGATTCCATTCCCTACTGGACCTCTATTTCCAGAAAAAGAAACCTGCCTCCTTCACCTAAGTGTGTAACTTGGGCAGCTGCTCAGGGACAAAATTCTAGACTGTGAGGTGGCAGTGCCGCAGACATGTCACTTCTCTGGAACCCTTTCACCTTCCATGACAGAGCTCTCTTCTCTGTGCTTCTGGAATTTTGCCTATATCAGTAATGGCCACTATCATTTCCTTTGACTTTACAGCAGGCTCAGTTCTGAGCCAAGTGTTTTACCTACGCTTTTCATGTAACCCTCACTACCACCCCACAGGGTAGATTACAGTCAGCCACCTATACAGATGAAAATCTGAGCATAGACAGGTGGTCCAAGGAATGGGTCCCAGGTTAATAGGTCCAGAGGCTGGACTCATAATTTTGCTGTGCCTGTCCTCTATCACTCCTTCAGCTGACTTTCCTGCCATGCCTCCTTGGGCCATGATCCCAAAATGCATAAGGATGGAGTGTGTCCAAACCTTAGATACCCTCCCTCTGTCCACAGTCTAGTCAGTGCGGTGGTGACTTCACTGGCTAGGGTCCTGAATCGCAGGGTGGTTATTGGGAACCCATGGTTCAGCTCAGATGTTCCTGGCACAGCCTCAGTTTACCACCAGATGGCACTGCTCCCCTTCAGAAACCCAGTCTGGGGCCCAAGGTCTGTGATGGGATTGAGGGAGTTTGGAGAAACCAGGGCCCAGGAGGCTGGGGAAGGGACTGTCTAGAATAACAGTTCTCAACCTTCCTAATGCCGCGACCCCTTAATACAGTTCCTCATGTTGTGGTGACCCCCAACCATAAAATTATTTTCGTTGCCACTCTATAACTGTAATTTTGCTACTGTTATGAATCGTAATGTAAATATCTTTTCATTTTCCGATGGTCTTAGGCGACCCCTGTGAAAGGGTCATTCGACCCCCCAAAGGGGTCGCAACCCACAGGTTGAGAACCGTTGGTCTAGAAGCTGCTCCCTCCAGAATTTCTGCTCTGTGACATTGCAGCCCCTCCACCCCTGCCAACACACACACACACACACACACACACACACACACACACACACACACACACACACACACACACAGCCACACACCTGCAGGCACTCCCAGACCCCCCCACTCTGGGAAGCGGAAAGGACAGCACTCAGGTTTTCTGGGCTGCACACACATTCCAAGCATGCTCACTGACACATTTCACAGGGTGGGCACGCACACCTGTGCATTAGCGTAGCCAACGTTTTCACATCTAAGTACACACAAGCACAAAGCCACAGCAGATCCAGGCCCACACGCCCGACTTGGTCTGGCACATTGCTTCATCGGAAAGAGATTCCTTGGCCTCTTTGGAAGAACATCCCTGGACCCTCTCCGCCCCCCACACCCCACCCCCACTCTGCCTGTGCACCTTCCCATGTGTGCCTCAAAAAGAAGCAGCCGCCATCCAAAAGGCTGTTTGCAGGGCTGCCCAGTGGCAGAGAGAGGTCAAGAGCAGCCCAGCCCTAGCCCCAGAACCAAGGGCTGCAGACTTAGATGTGCTCCACCTGCCTGCAAGTCAGGTCATGCACTGGGGTGGGAGTACCCACACCATTGGTAGGAAAGTCGATAGCACCAAATCCTCTGGACTTCAGGGTGCTCCTCCCCCTCTTCACCTTTCCACCACCCCTTCCCTCCCATCACCTACTTCCAGGCTCACCAGACCCAGGTACTTCCACCAGCCCATCCCCATCCTGGTGCCACCACAACCCCTGTACCTCCTCCTGCAACTGCCTAGGGCCAGGAGGCAAGGCCAGCTGTTCCACATCCACTCTCACTCTGCTGAACAAGACTGCTACTACAGGTGTCCAGGGGTCACAGGAGCCACCAAGGAGAGGCTCTGGGCTGCCAGGCCATGGAGACCCCGGCCTAGACAAAGAGGGAATTCTAATCATTCACTCAGTACCCTCTCCATGCCCAGAAGTCCCTACGGCCTCCTAGAAAAAAAGTGGAACACTATTCGCATTGCTCAAGACTTGTGCAAAGCAACCAGTCCTGTATGACTGCATGCTCATCCATCACTCTTGTTTTACAGAGTGAGAAATTGAGTTTCCACCAAGACAACAGTTTCAGCTGCACCTTATCCAGTGGCCACAGCAGCTGCAGTCTCTGGAAGGCAGTCACCACCTCCTGCTCCAACGGGACAACTTCATGGAGGGACCTGAGGCTCAAGTGGGGAATGAAGCAGCAACTCTCAGCCCCAGCTCCCATGTACCAGGGCCCCAGCCAGAGCGACGAGCCCCCAGGAGCCCCCATACAACATTTAGGGCATACCGACACTTAAAATAATTATTGTTTATCTGAAATTAAAATTGAACTGGTCGTTTTATAGTTTATCTGGTAACCCCACCTCAGAACCAATGCTCAGTCACAGGCCCCAAGGACTCCCCCTCCTGTGGCCTCCAGGGCCTCATTTAAATCATCTGCAAAATAGTTAGAAGCAAATCAAAACAGCTGCCTCCCAATGGGTCTCATTAAAGATTAGATCAAGCTGGGCCGGCCGAGTGGCGCGAT